GCGCTGCAAGCTACTGTGCAAAATCGCTTGTCACCCTGTAGGAGTAGGAATTGCCTCTACAGCGGACAATATTATAAGCAAGATATCAACCGAGTAACCTCACTAGGACTGAGAAAGTATCGCACAGGCACGCTGCTTACTGCATGCTCGCCATTTACTTTTCTTGGCTCTAATTGAAATCACTAATTTACTTTGTAAACTGTGGATAGCAAGGTAAGAAACAGAATGAAAGCAGGCAATCTCGCCTTTGGGGTCGGGAAAAAGTGGAAGACAACATGGACTACAAGGTAAGACGATTTTCTTTTTGCAATATCCCTTCCAGTCATGATCGCCTTTGCTAGCAGAAATGTTGTACAAAATACATTGACTATTTTATCTTCTCATGTTATTTTGACCAAGAACTTGGTGAGATTGTTTCTCTTTCAAGTCCGTCTTTTACTGCAATTTGCAATAAACATTGAACTAGCTGCACAATTTCATTGATTGCGATACTATTAATTTTGTTTTGATTTATTTTTTGGGTATTGGTTAAACTGACTTTTTGGGGTTTGCTTTATGATCGACTGCAATTTCGCAAATCATTTTCTTTATCTCTATTTTTATTTTCTCATCCTATTTTACCTCAATCTTAATCCTGAATCTTTTTACAAATGTTTTCGTTTTCTCTTCAAATCTCTCTTTCACTGCCATTTATAATTACAATCGAACCAACTCAACTATTGCGTTCTCCCCATGGACGAATATGCAATGGTGTTTTGCATTATTTATTTTTGGGCATTGGTTTTACTGACATTAGGGTATACTTTATCCATCTGTACAAAGCACACATCCATCATCTTGATTGATAGAGGTGATGTTGATTTAGTTTATTAATAGCTGAAGAGATCGCCATCTACAGTATTACAAGATATCAAGATACAAGATACAAGATTAACTTTACATTTCATGCAAATATCATGTCTTTTTCACGTGGGTTACTAAGCAGTAATCATGCTGATCACTGCTGATGATGAGTTGAGAGTGTTGAAGATTCCATTGCATGTCCCATATATCGAAGTGAGGGAATGGTAGAGTGATTTGTAGCTGTAGTGTTTGGGGGTTATAAATATTCAAACTAGAGTATTTTTCATATAGGATTAACTGCTTGTCCGACCATAGATT